CATGCCCCCCACTGGGGATCAGGCCTACATTGTGGGCATGTGCCCTGACCGAGAATCGAACCGGTGACATTTTGGTATATGGGTCGATGCTCAACCCACTTAGCCACATCAGCCAGGCTTCATTTATTCTTTATCCATCTATCCACACATCCACCCATCCATTTATTCATCCATCTATCAATTTAATCATCCTTTTACCCATTCATTCATCCATCCATCCATTCAGCTCTTCATCCACCCATCTACCCATCCATCTACCGATCAGCTACCCATCCATTCACCAACTCACCCATTCATCCACTCATCATTATCCACCCATCACCCACCCATCTTCCAACCATCTATCCATTCATTCCCTCATCATCATCCACCTATCATTCATCCATCCATCCAGCTATCCATCATCCGTCCTTCCATTCATCCACCCATTCATCTACCCATTTATGTATCCATCCTTTCTTTAATCCACCCTTCTATCTATCCATCCACCCATCCACCCACCCATTCATTCACCATTCATCCATACTATCCAGTTTTTCCTACTGTCTACTTTTCTTTATTCACCTTTTCTTTAATTCATACTTTTCTCCATCGCTGAGTCTTTGTTTACCTTTTTCTCTCTTTTGTGATTAAGACATGGTTCCTAAGCTTGTGGCTCAGGTAGATACGAGAGCAGACTCCTATGGCCCAGTAGGCTGAGTGTCACAATAGAACCTAAGTAGAAACTGGAGAAGTCGAGAGTTGTCTTCTTGTGCAGTCTCGTCACCACACACACCCACACCCACTCAAATATGTGTCCATGGAGCGGTGTCCGGGGAGAGGTGCAATGAGCCGGGAGAGCCCATGGTGGGGGCGGAGAGTGGATCGGGCCTGGCAGCCTCGGTGGCTCCTGGGTGACCCCAGAGAGAAATGTCTCTGACTGACAGAGACGCCTGCACATGGCTGAGCACCCCCCTGTCTCATGGGGGCCTCAGTCTGGCAAAGGAAGAGGCCGGGGGCCTGTGGGGAGTGCGGTGGTGCCCTGGGATTTGGAGGGGGCTGGACCAGGAGAGAAGCTGAAGGCTTTTCCCCCAGATTCATCTGAAACGAACGGGTTAGATCCGCCTGCTCCAAGCCCCATCTCTGTGAGAGGAGACACCTGGGAGAAGAGGGGGAGGAGGAGGAGGCAGCCCTGGCTCACCTCAGAAGCGAAGGGGCAGGTACGTGTAGGAAGGAGGGGCTCAGACACCTGGGATCGGGAAGGAGCTGCATCTGGGCCCCCGCTTGCCAGTGGAGCCGGGCAGTGCCCTTCCCACTGTCCTCACCCACAGCCCATGTGGGCACTGGGAGAGCCGAGGCTCTGGGAGAGGAAGATGCTGTGCCCACCACCACGCCCTCCACTGTTACTGTCACCCGCCACCCCCAGGCTGGGTCTCCTGTGTGTGTGTGTGTGTGTGTGTGTGTGTGTGTGTGTGTACCTGGCAACCAGGGACACGGGATCCTACAGGCAGGTAGGGTCATATTGTGTAGGTATCAGTGGGGGGCTGGCTGTTCTGCTGCCCCCGCAGAGCCGCCCTGCTCCATGAGGCCAGAGAGAGTTGCTCCCACTCCTGTGCAGGAAGGTGGGCGCCTGGGAGGGGCGCAGGCATTCCCGGGGCTCTCCGCCTAGGGCACCACACATGTTCCCTCCCACCCTACCAAGTCTCAGTTCCCCATCTTGGAGGCAACTCGCAGATGGAGTTTGGACAGGACTGAGCTGGCCCCAGGAGGGGACCAGCCTCCACAGGGGGCTGGCCAGCAGGATGGGAGGCCTGCTTCCTCAATCCCCTAACCTCCTCTGACCCCCACCCTCTCGCGGGCCCCCGGCTCCCTCCAGGCCGGTGTTGGGGAAGGGTGGGGGGCCCCGACCACACCCCCAGTCTGTGCTTTCTCCTCTAAATCTCAGCTTATCACGGGCAGAGAGGCCCGGACTCTATCTGTCTCGGGAACTTGGGGTTGGGGACTTTGGGAACCCCCCGCTGGTTGCCTTGAGGCCCCCGGTCTCCAAGAAGCCCTTGGAAAAGCCCTTGGAAAAGCCCTGATGCAAAAGGGCTGGGAGCTGGGAGGGGCCGGGCTCTGAGGGGGTGGTGCCTCCAGAAAGGACCAGTGGTTCGGACACGGCCGTTTCTGCTTCCCGGGCAGGTCCCTGGGTGCCTTCTCGCTGTGCCCTCTTCCGGATGGGCCTTGGAAGCACCGCCCTGCCCCTCTGGGCACCTTCGGGTGCAGCGGTGTCGCGGCGCCGCGAGGGGTTGGCAAACACCTCCAACGGGCGGTCCAGGCCCCCTCGGGGACTCTTAGGCCCCTGGTACCCTGACCTGGAGCCCACAGCAGGCGCAGTGTCCCCAAAGAGTCTGCAGCAAAGCAGTGTGCTCGGGGTGCTCTCTCCACGCCAGGGGCGGCGCCCGGCCCCGCAGCCAGCGCTCCTCCCGGTGACGGGAGGCCTCGGGCCCGCCCACGAGCTCCACGCGGCACCTCGGCTTGAAGAGTACGGGGAGTCTGGCACGGGGGGGGGGCCTCACAGTCTGAGTAGCTACGATTCCCACTGTGCAGATGGGGAAACTGAGGCTCGGGGGGTAGGGCTTATTTGTCCGGAAAGGACGAGTCCAGCTGTCAGCCGCGGCTGGCCGTGCCCCGAGGACTCTGCCCGTCCCCCTCCTGCTGGTGCTTGGAACTCGGGCCCAGGAGAGCAGAGCCCTGTGGGGCGGACCCCAGGGACCCCTTCCCATGGCCAGCCACGGGCCTGCTGTCTGGCAGCCTCCGAGGGAAACCGAGGCAGAGGCAGGCCAGTGGCACGGTGGAGGGAGGGCAGCACTGCAGCCCACATACCACCCGGGCAGGGGCGGTCTGCCCGGTCTGGTCCCCGGGCCCTCCCGGATTACCCTGCGTGGCTCCAGGGCTGCTGAATGCGGAGGCAGATGGCACCCAGGAAGGGGGTGCAGGGGAGGGTGTGGACTTGCTGGAGCAGCAGGGGCGGGGCCTGAGCCGCCCTCTCCCTCCCCCCACCCAAGGAGGGAGTGTGGAGGGGTCGACGGGAGACGGGAGACAGCCAGGACCTCCACAGCCTCACCAGGAGGAAGGCATCCATCATGCGGGCTGAGCTCGGCCTTCCCCTCCCCGGGAAATTCCCGGGGGCCGAGACCCCTGAACTGTGAGGAGGAGAGGAGGCCCACCTGTGGGTCCGAGGCCTGATCCAGCTCTGACTGGACGGAGCCCAGGCCCCAGGCCCCAGTTCTCCCCCCAGCTACCCGCTGCCGGGGTGATTCTGCCCAGCTCCACCCTCCCTCTTGAGTGGCCTTGGCACTGCCTGTCGCTCCGAGGCGTGCGCCCCCACTGTGCCAGGTGGTGCCAGGCCCTGCTGAGAGGACAAGGGGGTGAGAGGGCCACCTGGGGGCCAGGCAGCACGGGTTCCCGCCCACGGGGCAGCCCGCGGGCTGGTGTGCAGGGTGATGCCCTGGGACCCTGACCCCCTTCCTGGGCAGCGTGCAGGTTTGGGAGCAGACCCCGCAGACCTCCTAGGGGCTCCCGGGGGGCTTCCCAGGCCACACGCCCTCTCCCGGGCCCGGGGACTTCTCATCCCCACAGGAAAACCCCAGCTCCCTCAGTCACCTTGTGAAATGAGAAGCTACCCCACCCGAGTCTTGGTTTCGTTCTGAAAGGTCGGTGTGCACACCACATGGGGGCAGGGAGGGGGCAGGGAGGTATCCTTGGGGGTCACGCTCTGGGCTGGGGTGCATCGGGCCAGCTCTCTAGCCCAGGGCCCTGCACAGGGGCAGCCCAAGCCCCCCCCGGGATCGGCCATGTCCCCCCTCCTGCTGCCTGGGCCTACCCTCCGCCCCCCTCAGCTTGCATGACAACTGGAAGAGGTTGCCAAGTGCGGGCCAAGGAGGGAGGGAGGGTGCCCAGCCAGGCAGCTCAGGCTGTGCCCTTCTATGGGCATGAGGAGACCAAGGAGCACAGAGAGCGGGGGTTTGCATGGTGCTGACGTGAGGAGCCATTCCTGAGCAGAACACAGCTGTCCCAGCCACCTCCTGGGTGTCAGGGCCTGTGCACCCTGGGCCAGGCCCCTGCCTCCGGCCCCACCCTCACACGCGGGTCCCCCGCAGGCCCCGCGCCAGCCCGGGTGGGACAGCAGACACGCGGCGACCCTCTGTCTTCCTCACGCGCACGCAGACGTTGCCCTCACTGTGGGCAAAGGCGCTGGCACAGCCTGCAGCCGAGGAGCTGGGGTCAGAGGCCCTCGGCCAGTCAGCCCCAGGCTCCGGGGCCCTGCCGGCTCCCTCTCCGCCCCTCGGCAGGGCGTGGCTCGGCCCCAGAGCCCCATCTCCATCCTGTTCTGGGCCCTGCTCCGTCCCCCTGCCCCCTGGCCAGCAGCCCCCCGTCCTGGGCTGCTAGTCTCCACCCCCAGGGCGCTGCCTCCCGTCGGACGCCGCCTGCCCCTGGATGCCCAGTTCCGTCTCCTCTGGGACTTGCACCCTGGGGCCATGGGACCCCTCCGACAGCCCCTCCCCCGGGCCCTGGACCCCCCTCCTTTGTTTCTGCACAGCCCCCCACCCCACACAGCTGCCTCCTGAGCAGGCCTGGGCCTGCGGGGTTTCCAGCCCAGTTCTGGGGGACAGGTGATCCTCTCTGCCAGCAGCCCACACACAGCCTCTGCCTGCGTCCCTTCGTCGTTCACCCCAACCACGGCTCCAGCCTGGCACTCAGCTCGGGCCCCTGCCGCATCCCAGCCTCCATCGCCAGGGAGGGGCTGCCCCCAGGAGGGCGCCAGTGGGCTCTGAGGGCCTCGAGCCGGCAGCTGCCTCCACCAGGCCAGGCCCTGGGCCCTCCCCACCCTGCCCAGACCCTGCCCAGCCTGCCCCGGGCCGCATCCCGGCGCCCTGCACGGCATCCAGCCCTCCCTGTCCGGGTCCGCTCTGGGCCTCGGGCTGAGCGTGGCCCCCACGGAAACGGTTGGGACAGAACAGTCGACGCACAGCCCTTACCCGGCACCTTCTTCCTCCACCAGGAGCTCTTCCTGCTCCCCGAAGCCGGGAGCCTCCGCCATGGCCTGGTGCTCGGTGGTTCTCGCCGTGCGTGCCCGGGCTCTGGGTGCTTCCTGGGGCGGTGGCCTGAGCCCCCACCCCCAGCCCGGTTTCACTTCCCCCTTCCGCTGCAGGTTGAGGTTTGAGCTTGGGTTGGGGTGTTGTTTTCGTCTGTTGCTGCAAGAGGAGAGAGAGAACAACCAGACACCAGGAAGCATTGAGCAAGTTGCAGGGGCCTGGGGTGACCGGCTCCAAGAGGACGGGGGGCGGGGGGCTGGGACACCCTCGTGGGGTCCAGAGTCCCAGGATCCGCACAGGAGCCCCTAAGGCCCCCGGACCCCCGGCTGCCGTGACCTCGAAGGTCTTGTGTGCGTGCTGGCTGTCCAGCGCAGGGTGGCTCTGGGCCCTTGGTCCTCCGCACCAGCGTCTCACCCACTCTGGAAGGCACCTCCTAGGTACGCTCACCTCCCTCCACGCCCGGGCCGTCGCCTGACACCCTGACCGCCTGCTTTCTCCGGGCGACTTCTGGGGCCGCGCAGGAGACAGCCACACTCCGCGTGCCTGTGTCTTGTCTCGGCACTTGGAGTCTCTCTGTGCCTCCTGCACTGTCCCCTCCCGTCTGCCTCCCCTCACCCCCGCTTGGGCAGCTCCGAACTGACCACGCTGAAGGGCAGTGTCCCTGGCACGCTCTGGGGCGTGCAGGGTCCCTGGGAGGCAAAGCAGGGTCGGGGGACACACCGAGTCTGTGTCCTCCTTCACCGTCCTCAGCTGTTGAGTGTGGCCAGACCAGGGGCTCAGGAGTCCACGAGGGGCGACAGGCAGGGGGGGAGCCAGACCCCAAAGCTGGGCACCTTGGCTGTGTGCCGTCCAGCCAGGCCGGGAACGCCAGGAGGGCAGCAGAGACGTCCCTCACGAGGCCCGGCGGAGTGCTGGGCCCATGACACAGGAAGACGGAGCTTTGGGCCATCCTGTGAAGCCCCGGCCAGGGTGGCCTGAGGAATCCACTCAGAAGGGGTTGGAGGGACCCCAAGGCCAAGGGGGTGGCCAGAGGCCCAAGGGTCAGGGCAGACAGTAGGTCCTGGGGTGTTCATCCACGGGGGGCCCCACAAGCCAAGCAGGTGGTCCCCCACCCCTCACATACACCAAGGAGACCTCTTACCTGTGCGGGAAGGCAGGAAGGGGCCCCAAACCTTCGAACATGGGGCAGACCTGAGCCAGACAGAGCTGCAGAGGGGAACCCCCGGGGTCCCTGGGCACTCTGGGCCTGCTGCTTCTTGGGTCCCCACTTTGGCTTTGAGGCATCACTCACTGTCCAACCAGAGGCAGGGTGCTTGGTCGGCCATCTGAGTGGGGCCACGCCCCAGCACCCCGTAAGCTCCCCTGGGCACAAGCCCCAGCTCCCCTGCCCCTCTGTGGGGGGGACCCCAGGCTGACCACTCTCTGGATCCTCCCTCTGGCCTGTGCTGAGTTTGATCCCAACATCACTGCTGGGAAGTGTAGGGGCCCTGCCAGGATTGGGGAGAGCTGGTGGGGGCTGGGCGCCCCAACACATAGTCCCCCACCCCTCCATTTGCTGCCTGAAGGCTGGGCCAATTCTCTCATTCTTGGGCTCAGAGCAAACGAAGACAGGAGCCTCTGTCAAACACTGAAGGATTCCAGCCTGGCCGGGTGGCTCAGTTGGTTGGCGCATCGTCCTGTGCACCAAGAGGTCGCAGGTTCGATTCCCGGTCAGGTCACATGCCCAGGTGGTGGGCTCGATCCCTGGACGGGCGTGGTGGGAAGCAGCCAATCTCTCCCTCCCTCCCTCCCTCCTTCTCTCTAAGCACGTCCTCGAGTGAAAAATGTTTAAAAATCTTCAAAAAAGTTCAAGAGGGACGCAGGGGAGCATGAAACCAAGCCCTGGCCCTTCCTGGCCAAGGGCCGGCCCTGCTGGGGGGAGCTCTGGGGCCCTGCTGACCCGCCATGGTCCCCTCTGACCTCCCCGAAGGGTTTGTCAGGCCCAGGGCCCTCCAGAGCGGACTCCCCCCTGCTGGTCCCTCCTGGCACAGGTGGAGCTCTGTCCCCCGAGTCACAGGCTGGGGTCCTCACCCCAGCACCTCAGTATGGGACCTTACTTGGAAAGAGGGTCGTGGGTGCTGTGGTCTTTAGGGTGGGCCCTAATCCCAACTGTGGGGGCAGACCTGCACCAGGGAGCATGCAGGCAGACATCGGGGTGACCTGTCTGCAAGCCAAGGGACCCCGACGGTCACCAGGAAACTCCCAGAAGCTGGGAATGGGGCTTGGGCAGGGGCCAGCCCCGGAGTCACCTTGACCTGGGACTTCCAGTCCCCAGGACCAGGGGACGTCACCTTTCTGCTGCTCGAGCGGTCTCTGCCATGGGGCTTGTCGTAGCCCCCGGACACTGACACCCCTCCCCTCTGCTGTGTCCAGTGAACAGGCCCAACACCGGCCAGGGCCAGGCGGGTGGCCACCCCCTTGGCCAGGAGCACATGGCAGCACACTGCTCCCCACAGCCACCCCAGACTCCCACCCGTCCCCACCCCCTTCACAAAGAAAGAGGAAGTGAGGGGGTCCTCATCCTCAGGTCTGGTCGTGCCCCCTGCTCTGCGATGCTGCACCCCCAGCTTCCCCAGCTCCCAGGGCCGGCTCCCCCATCCTCTCCACCTCGTGATTATGTGGGTGCTCATATGTCTCACATCTTTAAAAAAAATACAAAGAAACTGCCCTGGACCCGGACCTTCTCTGGCCTTCCTTCCGGCCTCCATCCCTCGATCCCCGCGGCAGGACCAGCGGTCCGGACAGCTGGGGGCGGGCACCTGGGAGGCCACCTGGGCAGCAGGTGGAGCAGGTGGGCCCTGCCTGTGAGTCACCCCGAGAAACAATCCCTCACTGTTCTTCCAAACTCTAGGGTGGGGGCGGGGTGCAGAGATCCCCTCTTTTTTGTCCCCATGCCCCCAACCTGGTGCAGTGTGCAGAGACAGTTAGTGCCCCGTCCAAGACCAGGAAGGAGTGCATTCTGGGAGGTCAGGGTGGGCCTCGGGAAGGCACCGGGGACCTGAGCCAAGGCAGGGGACAGAGAGTCACTGACTGATCGTCCAGGGGCAGCTGGGCACCTGGGCAAGGTGTCCTCAAAGGCCCAGGTGAGACAGGTCCCCGGGGGGGGGGTGAGGTCAGGACCACACACTCGTGACGTCGGGTGACGAGACGCCGGGAGGGGGACCGGGGCGAGGCGGAGTGATGGAGGGAAGTACGCATGGGGAAGTGGTCAGCACACAGAGTAGGTCAGGCAGTGGGGACAGAGCGTGTCTGGTGTGCAGACCTGGCCGGGCCGCAGGGGCCAGGTGGCCTCCGGTCAGCACGTGAGTCCCAGGGCCGAGGGGCAGCGGCTGACCTTGGGGACCAGGACGAAGGCTGGGCAGGGACTGTAACTGGAAGGCTTGAGGGCCGGAGGCGGGACCCCGGCAGAGGCAGACAGACGGTGTGCAGGGTGTTGTGAGGATCCAGGAGAAGGATGGTGAGGGTCAAGTGTGGCCTGGGGAGAGGTGACCTGGGGCCTGTCACAGCTGAACGGTGTCCCCTCAAGCTCACATGTTCAGATCCCAGCCCTCAGGACCTGTGGGCATGGCTTCGTTAGGAAACCGTCTCTGTGACGGTCCAGGGAAATGAGGCCACTGGGGCAGCCCCCCCCCCCCGTGTGCCTGGGTCCCCATAAGAAGAGGAGGTCAGGACACACACGCACAGAGGGACACCCTGGGGGACCGGGGAGAAGACGGCCATCTGCAGGCCAAGGAGAGAAGCCTGGGGGGACCAGCCCTGTGACCCCTGGACCTCGGGCTCCAGCCTGCAGGGTGGGGACAGCGAACACCGTGGTTGCAGCCCCCCGTCTGGGGTGCTCTTATATGGGGACTCAGGACGGGACACAGGGAGCGTGTCCGTCAGGGAGGCAGCCCCGCTGCTGTAACAAGTCCCAGGGGCTCCGCTGTGCCTCCGGCAGCTCTCAGGCCCGCGGGTGGGGAGGGGGCTCTGCAGTCCTGGGGTCCGGCTGGTCCTGGGGTCCAGCTGGCAGGGGGAGGGGTGGAGACCTGAGGACTCAGCCTCGTGGCCTCACCTGTCCACGGGTGTGTCCAGAAGGCAGAGGGGAGCAGGGCTGTGGGCAGCCAGCCGGCTCCTGCCACAGCGGCCGAGACGGGGGGGGGGGGGGACACGTCGGGGCGCCCAGGGTGTGCTGGGGACAGCCACTGGCAAGCTCAGGCATGAAGCGGGGAGGGGAGGACTCGGACATGGGGGCCATGGCTGCGGTGCCGTGGGGACCGGGAAAGGTGTCCGGGGGCCTGTGCGGACCGGGCGCTCGCAGAGGCCGGGGGCAGTCGGGGGAGCCGGGGTGGACGGGACCTCCTGCAGGGGATGAAGGCTGTGGGGTTCGCTGGGGTCCCTCTGGATGCCCCCTCCATCAGGGGGCTGGGCCCTGGAGCCCTGGCGTGGGCGCTCGGGGAGGAAGAAGCCACGGGGGAGCCTTGGACCGTGGAGACCACAAGGGAGGACTCGGTCAGGTCGGAGGGACACCAGGAGAGGACAGACAGGCAGGTGGGGACAGGCACCTGAGTGGACACGCGGAGAGGTCAGGTGAGGAGAGGGGCCAGGTAGACTGGGGGCAGCTGGGCAGTGCTGCTGGCAAGGGTCGCTGTGTGGGACGGTCCCCTGGGGGATGGTCAGCGTGAGCAGTGTCCTTATTAGTGCTGCCTGTGCCTCTGGTTGGAGGTGACGGGCCCCAGTGGTGGGGGGAAGGCCCTGGAGACCTGGCGTGGGGAGTCGGGGGTCAGTCCTGCCTGCGTGTGGCCTGTCTCCGCCCTGGAAAGGGGGCACCGCAGTGAACTGAGCCTGGGACCCACAGATTCCTACAGAGTGTGTGGGCGCAGAAAGCAGGAGGGGCTGGCAGGAGGGGTGCAGGGCGGCGTCCCCACCCCGAGGCCACCTGGGGTCAATGTGGCTGCGGTGGGCACAGAGGCGAGGAGCTGTCTGGAGGGTCTCCCTATGAGCCGGCCCCTCGCTGGACGATGGCAGGAGGAAGGACTTTGGTGGTGGGGGACAGAGACGGGGAGAGGGAGAGGCAGGTGTGGTTGTCCAGGGGCCGGCAGCTTCTAGAGGCAGCAGGCAGTCCCTCGAGCAAGGACTGTCGGGGGCCAGCCGTGTGCGGCTCCTGGGGCACCGTCCGCCCCATCGGAGGTTAGGGAGGCCCACACGGTCCAGCCTCTCAGGGCTGATGGACCTCATGGTCAGCTGGGGGCCTGTGGAGGACTTCCTGGAGGGGGTGGCGGCAGGAGAGCCGCGTGCTGAGGTGGGCTCAGCGGTCCAAAGGGCTGGCATGAGGGGTGACTCCCAGGAGGTGCCTGTCTGTCCCTGGAGGCAGGTGAGCTCATCTCCACACCTGTTTTGTCATCGGGGAAACTGAGGCCCGGCAGCTCACCAGGGCGCCGTGAGGAGGGGACACGGTGGCCTGTGGGTGGTGGGGCAGGGGCCCGGACAGGCTGGTGCTTGGGGACCGGGGAGAGCAGGCCAGGCAGGCGCCGCTCTGTTCGCTAACCTGGGGGTCTCCTGGCCCCCGACCGCACAGACGTCCAACCAGTGCCGTTCACACGGGCAGCCCCGCCCCCCGCGCCCCGGGCCCTCACCACCTGCTCCCGCCCAGCACTTCATTTGCTTCTGTTGGCTTTGCCCACTGTTTGCTTTCTGGCACTGGGGTGTGCGTGCTCACCTGGGCCCCTGCTCCCCGCCCCCCCGCAGCCACTTGGGAGCCTGTGTCCCTGCTGCCCCCCCCCCGCAGCCACTTGGGAGCCTGTGTCCCTGCTGCCCCCCCTGCAGCCACTCGGGAGCCTGTGTCCCTGCTGCCCCCCCTCAGCCACTTGGGAGCCTGTGTCCCTGCTGCCCCCCCTCAGCCACTCGGGAGCCTGTGTCCCTGCTGCCCCCCCTCAGCCACTCGGGAGCCTGTGTCCCTGCTGCCCACCCTCAGCCACTTGGGAGCCTGTGTCCCTGCTGCCCCCCCTCAGCCACTCGGGAGCCTGTGTCCCTGCTGCCCCCCCCCCCCGCAGCCACTTGGGAGCCTGTGTCCCTGCTGCCCCCCCTCAGCCACTTGGGAGCCTGTGTCCCTGCTGCCCCCCCTCAGCCACTCGGAAGCCTGTGTCCCTGCTGCCCCCCCTCAGCCACTCGGGAGCCTGTGTCCCTGCTGCCCACCCCCCACAGCCACTTGGGAGCCTGTGTCCCTGCTGCCTGCCCCCCCGCAGCCATTTGGGAGCCTGTGTCCCTGCTGCCCGCCCCCCCGCAGCCACTTGGGAGCCTGTGTCCCTGCTGCCTGCCCCCCCTCAGCCACTCGGGAGCCTGTGTCCCTGCCGCCCCCCCTCAGCCACTCGGGAGCCTGTGTCCCTGCTGCCTGCCCCCCCGCAGCCACTTGGGAGCCTGTGTCCCTGCTGCCCGCCCCCCCCCCCCCCCGCAGCCACTTGGGAGCCTGTGTCCCTGCTGCCCCCCCCCCCCGCAGCCACTTGGGAGCCTGTGTCCCTGCTGCCCGCCCCCCCTCAGCCACTTGGGAGCCTGTGTCCCTGCTGCCCCCCCGCAGCCACTCGGGAGCCTGTGTCCCTGCTGCCTGCCCCCCCTCAGCCACTTGGGAGCCTGTGTCCCTGCTGCCCACCCCCCCCCCGCAGCCACTTGGGAGCCTGTGTCCCTGCTGCCCCCCCCCCCGCAGCCACTTGGGAGCCTGTGTCCCTGCTGCCCGCCCCCCCTCAGCCACTTGGGAGCCTGTGTCCCTGCTGCCCGCCCCCCCTCAGCCACTTGGGAGCCTGTGTCCCTGCTGCCCCCCCGCAGCCACTCGGGAGCCTGTGTCCCTGCTGCCCCCCCTCAACCACTCGGGAGCCTGTGTCCCTGCTGCCCCCCCTCAGCCACTCGGGAGCCTGGGTCCCTTCTGAGGAAGAGGATGGTGTCAGAGACCCATGCCCAGGGGCTCCTTCTCCTCAGCCCCCCAGGTGCCCACACATGTACGGCCCTGCACAGGTGTGCCCCCATTGCCCGTGTCCCTTCCTCCACCTCCATGCTTCCTCCATGCTCCCCACTTCTCCCCCACCCTGCCCTGGTCTCCCTGGGGCTGTGTGCACCCCCGATCCCCAGCTGCTTCAGAGTCCTCCCTGGGCAGTGTCAGGGGTGTCTTCCCCCCTCCCCTGCCCACCTCGGGGCACTGCCCACCGCTCCCTTCTGAGGACCCCGTCTCCCACCCAGACTCCTCCAGCTGCTTCTGTCGCTGGGCCCTCTGGCCATCAGAACCCTTTCTTTCTTTCTTTCTTCCTTTCTTTCTTCTCTTTCTTTCTTTCTTTCTTTCTTTCTTTCTTTCTTTCTTTCTTTCTTTCTTTCTTTCTTTCTTTCTTTCTTTTTCTCCTCACTCGAGGACATTTTTGCATTCGTCTTCAGATAGAGTGAGCGGGAGAGAGGGGGGGAAGAGAGAGAGAGACACATCGCCTGGTTGTCACCCACACAACCGTAACCGGGGTCGGGGACAAACTAACCGAGGTACGTGCCCTGAGCGGGAACCGAACCCGGGTCTCTCTGGTCCGCGGGCCGACGCTCTAACCGCTGAGCCACACCGGCCAGGGCCCAAAGCCCTTTCTTGCATTCCCTGTCTGCCTGCCCACTCTGGTCTCCCCAGGATGAGCCTCGGGGGCCCCTCAGCCCTGCCCCCGCACTGGGCAGGCTCCCCACACCTCGCTGCCGGGCCGAACCCACTGTGCGGGGCCACTTTGCCATCCTGGCCCCAGGGTGGGCAAGGGGCTCCCCCGGGGGCCTGGCCTTGCTCGGTGGTATGTGGTGGCAGGAGCCCAGGCAGCAGGCAGCCGGCGGGGGCCCGGGGTTGATAAGCCTGGGCCCGAGCTGCAAGGTCACCTGGTCGGAGGGTCTGTGGGAGCCATTCAAAGGACAGCCGGATCCCAGCGGGAGCGGGGTGGGGGCGAGACTTGGTGAAGGCCAGCAGGGCACCAGCTGACGCCAGTCAACAGTCCCTCGAGGCGGCCAAGGCTGAAGGCAGCTGCCCTCCCCATCTCCGGCCCCGGCAGATCAATCGCTGGGACCTCCGGAGGGCAAGGGCAGGACGACAGCCCCTCCATCACGGGGCCCAGGCCTGGCCTCCCCGGGCTCCCCACCAGAGATCTGAGCGAAGAGGCCTTGGCGGGCAGGCCGCTGCTCCATCTGTCACAGGGAGGCTGTCAGCCGTGGCCTTGCTGTGACAGTCCCATCCGGCCCGTCAGGGACACAGGCCCTTGATGTGTGAGGTGGGCCAGGGCGGTGGAGCTGTGCAGAGAGAAGACCCAAGCCCTCCCGCTGGGCCCGTGGGGGGCCAGGTTGGCCCGGACTCAGTCCCTGGGGGGGTCCGCAGCCCGTGTGAACCCCTACTCCCCGCCATCAGCCACCCTGGGAGGGCCATCTGACCCAGGACTGGCCTGTGTGTTTCCTGTGGAGGCTGCGGGGCCTGAGGAGGGGCAGCCGGGGGGCCTGGGGGGTTGGCCACATTGCACATGCCTGCCACTGGGCCCCGGCCCGGATGTGTTTACTGAGACGGTCCCTGGGCGGACAGGAACTCTTAGGATGGCCGACACTGCTCACTTTGAGAACGTCTGCTTAGACGTGACTCAGGCCTTCTGTCTCCAGACCCCGAGGGGGTGGGTGCCCAGAGCGAGCCCCGAGAAGCACCCGGGTCCGACCACTGAGCTCAGTGGGCAGCCCAGGTGCAGGCGGGTGGATTCCATTCCCAGGGCCTTCCCAGCCTGGCCTGAAACTCCCGAAGCCCACGCGGGGCTCCCCCAGCCCTCATCCCGGGCTCCCCCAACACAGTCGACGGCACCGCGTCCCAGCTCCTGCGGGGCCTTCCCGGAGGGCGACACCCAGGGGCTCAGGCGGCCTGTGGGCAGAGGCTGGGCAAGACCACAGCAGACCAGGACAGACTGGAAGCCTTTATTGACAGCTGTGACGGCCGGTCCCAGCGGCTCCGGGGGCCTGTCCTCCGCAGGCCGCGCTGGGAGCTGGGGCGCCTGCCGGTCGCGAGGCGGGGGGGCCGGCCGGCCGGGAACCTAGGACTCGGACTCAAACATCTTCTTCCGGCCCTCCATGCCGGACTTCTCCTCGATGTTCTTCCTCCAGTCGCCCACGTCACGCAGGTCCCGCTCCTGGGGGGCAGAGGGGCTCAGGCCCACGCGCTCGTGGCCCCAGCTCAGCCGCCCCCCGCGAGTGGGCTCCCGGCAGGTGGGGCGGGCGGCAGGGCGGGCGTACCTTCTCGGTGTCCTCCTTCTTGACCTGCTTCAGGTTGGCGCGCAGGTCCATGCACACCTTGTGTTTGGAGCCCAGCAGCGCCTTGAGCATGGCGTCGGCCGACATGCGCACCCGTCTCAGCGGCGGCCTCTTGAACTTGCCTCTCAGATCGAACAGCTTCTGGTTCATGTCCTCCAGCTGCGGGGGCGGGCAGGGCTGGGCAGGAGCCGGCCGGGCCAGCGCGCCCCGGGCCCCCGCCCCCCCGGCGCCCCGCGGCCGCTCACCTCCTTGGTGCTCTTCTGCACCTTCACCTCCATGTCATACTTCTCTTCCTCGGCCGCGTCCACCTTGGCGTGCAGCTGCTTGCAGAGCTCCTGCGGCGGGGCGCGGGGTGGGTGGCCGCCCTGCCGTGGGCCCCCCCCCCCCGGCCAGGGGGCGCACCGAGGCGGGGTGGTACCTGCAGCTCGGCCGTGGAGCCGGGCATGTGCAGCGGCGGGCAGTGCTCCGACAGGTAGTTCTGCTTCTCGCTCTCCCTGCGGCTCTCCTCCTTCTCCAGCTCCGTGGCCGCGATCTGGAGCATGACGCTCTGGGGGGGCAGGCAGGCCAGTGAGGGGCTGCGCGGGGCGCCCGGCCTGCGCTCACCCCGCTGGCCTCCCCAGGGCGGCACCTACCTTCAGGTGTTGTCTGCGGGCCGTGATGGCCCGGTTGCGTTTCTGTAAGGCCGAGAGAGGACAGGAGTCAGGGCTGCTCCCCCTCATCCCTTCCCACTCACCGCCCAGCCGGGGTCCTGCTCAGGGGACCCCGAGGCCTGGGGGGCTCCGGAGGCTGCCGGGTGGCATGCAGGGGTGTGGAGACGAGGCTGTGCCCTACGGGCAATGGGGCGGGATGGGGGTCCCTGCAGGGCCAGGGGATGGGGTGTCATAATGAGAGAGAAGAAGCCATTTCCAGGGTGACCAGCCTGCGGCCCACTGCCCCTGCCCCATAAGGCAACGGCGTCGATTCCTCTGTGGTGTCTGCCGAGTGGGGAGGCGTGTCTTTCTGGGCCTTGAAACACTGACCTCTGACCTATCCCGAGTGGGGGACCTCATCCCCTCCATGTTTCACCCCCAAGAAGATACTCACCTCATCACTGTTCCAGAAGGGTAGACGGGTGGGGGGAGAGGAGAGAGAGAGAGGTTAGGGACCTGTGATGGAGTGAGGGGGCATGGACAGGGTGGCCAGGGTGGGCAGAGACCCCTGCCCGGAGGTGGGAGGAGGGGGTGGCAAGGGCCTGGGCTGGGGACTTCACTTACTCCCCCATCTTGAGGTCTCGGGCTTAGAGCCTGTGGGAGAGAAAGACGGGGCATCAGGGCCTCAGACCTGTGGAGGGCGCAGCGCCTCACCTTCATGGGGCCCCCTGCCGCCCCACCCCCAACTCAAACCTCCTGGGGGGGACGCCTTAGAATTCTCTGGTGTGAGGAGTAAGAGGAGAAAGTGTTCCAGAAATGTCCCAGGCGGGGCCGCCGTGCGCAGCTGTCCCTGAGGGCGGGGGGACAGGCCAGGGCAGGTGGCCGCAGAGCCCGCCTGCTATTTTTAGTCTGCTCCTTCGGCTTCGGGCCCAAGTGCAGGCACAAAGCTGCTCCCCAGTTTAGCCCCGGGTCCCTCAACACGGAAAGACCCCTCCCAGTGTCCCGGAGATGAGGCCTGGTCGTGGAGGACCGGCCAGGTGCCCTGCCTCACCCCGCCACCTCCCGCTGCGTCTCCATCTCGCGCACAGCTTCTTGGAAGCCCCCCGGGGACGGCTGCTGGGCGCAGCCCCAACCCCAAGCCCCCCCCAGCCCGGGAAGTCCTCCTGCACGCTGGTTCGAGCCGTGCCTGTCCCGGCCTCGCCGGCCCCGCTCACCTACGTCTGGCCGCTGTTCTGGGAGCGAGGTCAGGCTGTGTCGAGTTGGGCTGGTGGGCCCAGGGGGAGGGGTATAAATGTCCTCCCCCAGCCTGGGCCCCTGCTCAGAAAGGACATGGAGCCCTCCTCAGACCAATGGGGGCACAGGGACCTCCCCACCTGCCCAGACCGCCCGGCCCGGCCCAGACACATGCCACCATCCAGTCCAAGAAGTCTTGGTGGGGGGGCTGCCGAGGTTGGGTTGCTCTATTTAGGGACCAGTGACGAGTCCAAGAAGCTCCTGGTTCTTGCAAGGAGCCTGTGGGCAGGCGCGTGGCCTTGCTGGGCCGAGGTGCAGGGCTCAGGGTCAGCTGCAGGGGCCCTGCAGGCCTGTTTCCACTGGGCCTCCGTCAGGGCCCACAGCGCCCCCCTGGAGACCACGCTGACCCTCGTGCAGCTCACGGTTCCCCTTCCAGCCCAGGGGCCTCTCTGCTCTGAGCTGGCCCAGCCCCCCTTGCTCCAATCTGGCTCTGGAGCACGGCCTGGGCCCCCCGAACGCGGCCTCTGGGCCTGCAGCAGCGCCAGGGGTCCCGGGTGGGGACGTGATCCTGCCTTCCCGCCCATGAGCACACAGAGGTGGGGGGGTCCCTGGACGTGCAGCCATGCGGGGCCGCCCTACCCGAGAGCTGTCCCTGCAACTCGGAACACGCCCTTCAACCCGAGGATGGCGGGCCCCTGCCTGGAACCCTCCCTGACCCGAGGGGCTGGGGCCCAGGCAGGCCCCCACCCAGCACAGGCATCTGGAGGGCCATGACTTGGCACCCTCTGCACTGGGGTGCGGCCCCAGCCCGCGGTGTGGGCCGTGGGGAGGGTCAGGAAGAGCTGGAGCCTCCAGAAGTGGGGGATTAGGGCTGCGTTCTTTCCCGCCAGGCTGAGCCCCCAGAGGCCCCGGCGGCTTCCGAAGGCTTCTGCTGCCCCCTGCTGCTTGCACGGAGCAGGCCGGCAGCCGCCACCGCCCAAAGGTTTGGGGGCCCCCGAGAGCAGCGGTGGCGGCCCCTACGGCTGGGCCCCTTCCTTCCACCAGCACCCCCGCCCCCAAAATGCCTCCCGATTGCCCACCATGTCCCTGTGGTGCCATGTCTAGCCCAGCTCCCCGCACACTGTCCCTGACGCTGCAGCCTCCAGGCAGGAGGGCTCCCCACCTCTGGCAGTGTCCTCGTTGGGCGTGGAGGGGTCCCTGTCACTGCACACAGGGTGAGGCATTGGTCAGAGGACTTGGGCCTGGATGAGTCTGGAGAGGAGACCTTCTCGCCCTCGTCAGGGGCCCCGACCCTACATGGTCGCCGAGGTCTCAGGAAGGACACACGTCGGTGGTGGGGGGAGAGCATTTATTGCAGTGGGGCCCCAGGGTGGCCTGGACAGGTGCCCACAGCTCAGTGGGGGAGACTGAGGCGCAGGGTGTTTTCAGGAGCCGGGCCAGGGCAGGCCCCGGCGGGGATGCAGGACCGGGGCCCGGTCCCCCTCCCTGGCAGGTTGCAGGCGGTGCCACTGGGCGATCGGCCGCCGGGCGTGAGCCAGCACGTCCGCCCAGTGCTGCAGGGGCTGACCCGAGGCCCGGGTGCCCAGCACCACCTTACCCACGGGCTCAGCCCGAAACCGCGGGCCCCGGGTGCAGACGGTCAGCACCAGGTCCACACTCTGAGCAGAGACAGCAGAGGCGCAGCGTGGGGAGAAAGACGGCGGTCAGCTCGGCCCCCCGTGAGGACCTGCCGCCCCTTCCTCCAGGCAGCCCACCTGGATCTGGCTGAAGGGCACGCGGAAGGTGAAAGCCTCGTTGAAGTAGGGGGTGGCCGTGCCCTTCCTGGCAGATGTCTTTCTCGTCTTCCACTTCCTCTGGCTCAGCATGAGCTGGACCTTCACGTAGACCTCTGGGCAGGCAACAGGGGTTGGAGGGTGTCTCAGGTCTGACAGCCAAGCGCAGGGCCCCCCCGGCCCCCCGGAGGACGCAGGGGCGGCTCTCACCTGCCCGCCCCAGGCTCAGGCCCCGCGCCTCCAGCACGACCACGGTCAGGCAGCCTGAGCCGGGCACGTAGCGGACCGAGAAGCACAGCGCCCCCGTCTGCTCAGCCTGCGGGCGCGGAAGGGACCTCGGTCTCGCCGCTGGCGCACCAGGCAGGGCTGGGCTGATGCCAGGTGGTCAGCAGCCTCACCTCGGTGGTGCCCGGTGGGCCCAGCTGGTGCCAGAGCTCCAGGACATGCCGCAGATCCACGGTGCCCAGCGGGAGGCTGAGCTCGCCCAGCGGCTCATGCCTGGAGAAGCGCTTGAAGTCCAGCACTTGCACCCGCAGGGTGGCCTGGGGGAGCTCCGCGGGGGGAACCTGCGGGCAGGGGTGTAAGCTGGGCCCTGGCCCAGGCTGGCCGACCGCCCCTCGCCCGCTGGCCCGGACTCACGCGGAAGCAGCAGGTCTCGTCGAACACCGGGCAGAGCGTGCCTCGGTGCACTTTGGTCTCATGTCCGTGCCCGGCCTGAGGGGACAGGCTGATGCGGGCGTAGGGGTCTGCGGTGCCACCCGGGCCTCTGGACCGCAGGTCCACTGCCTGCTTGAGGCCCACTCTGATCTGGGAGCCAAGGGCGGTTCAGCCAGGAGACCCTCTGGTCCGCTCTGCGCCCAGCACCTCTCCACCAGCCCACAGCCTCTGGGACTGCAAAGCGAGGCCTCACCTCCTGGCTTCCAGAGTCATACTCCAGGGCGAGCTGCAGGCGCCCCCACTGCGGGGCTCCCCCTGGGCTGAGCCCCACATCGTCCACATCCGGCTGCACCTGGGGTGGGTAGCATGGTGGCAGGTCCCGCTGGGACCCTGCCCCCGCCGACCGCGGGCCTGCCAGGCAGTGGCTCCCAGAGGAGGGTCGGATCCAACCGCTTACCTCCGGGCCAGGCCCCCAGAAGGGCTCACACCCTCAGCTCAGGTCTGAGACCGGCCAGAACTGATGGGTCTGCCCAAGGCCATTGCGGCACCACCACCCTCCTCAAGAACATGCTGTAGCCCCCACGGTGCAAGGCCCAACCCTTGGGCCCCGGACCCCACCGTCTCTCTGTCGCTGCCTCCCTGTGTCTTTGCCCACTGCTGCCCGCCGGCCTCTTCTGCTGGGCAGACCAGCCGCCCTGGGCTGAGCTCACGCCTGACCACTCTGAGCCGCCCTGAGCCCCTGCGCCTGGACCTCGGGCTACGGCCTGGGACTGACCCAGCCGGGTGCTGGGCACCGGGAGCGCTGGTGCCCGCTCCTCACCAGGTGGGCGGAGGTGGTGCCCTGGGCACTGCGCAGGCCCACGGTCTCTCCATCTCGGGACTTCCTCCTGCGGGGCCGGCGACAGCAGCAGAGGGCACAGAGGAGGCAGCACACAAAGAGGGCGCCGGCGGCGGCCGCAGCGGCTATGAGTGCCCATCGGGGCCCTGGGGTGGGTACAGAGATGGGCCTGAGATGCCCCTGTGGACAGCACCGCCCCTCCACCCAGCGGGGCCAGCCCCACACCCCTCCCGGGCCCCACAACTCACAGGGGATCCTGGCAACGAGGTCTGGAATGAGCCCGGATTCAGCTGTGGTGCCCACTGGGGCTGGGGCGCTGTGGGGGGCTGGGGAGTGCCACATGTCCCCACCCTGCTGGCTTGGAGGAGAGGGCCAGGGTGGCCGAGTCACTTGTGAGGAGGCCCCTCCGGGCCCCTGCCCACAGTCCCATCTGCCCAGCAGCAGCCAGCCTGGGTCTGCCCGGGCACGGAGGCAGCCTGGGGGGGCCAGGGGTGATGGTTCCGAGTGCAGCCAAGGGAGGGAGGCCTGGGCTTTGGCCAACATGCCGGCTTAGCTGCCCAGGCCCGGCCTCCTGGCCACCTCCCCAGCCCCCAGCCCTAGCCAAGCAGGCCGGGCCTGGGCAGCCTGGGCCCTGCCTTCACTGGTCCTGCAGGGCCTCCCCTGGTGGCAGGACCTCCTCTTCCCAGCCTGGGTCCCCCTTATCCCTGCTGCTCTTCAGGCCACCTGGTGTGCCTGTCCCCCAGCGGGACCATGTTCACACATGGGAGCCTGGCCCTGGGATCACCTGGGAGCACGGCGAAGGGGGCTCAGAGGGGCCAGGGCTCTGCGGGGGTCGTGGGGGAGCGGGGGTGAGGAGCGGGCTGCCTGCCGGTGGGAGCCGGTCTAAGCAAGCGTTCCTGGCACGGGCGGGCGTGGGGCCAGAGCCCCTGGGGAGGAAGGGAGGTGGGGGCAGGCAGGCACAGGGTGTAGCTGGGAGCGGTCAGAACATTCCTGGAGAACTGACTCAGCAGCTGGCCCAGACCTGCCTATCTGCCACCCCTAGGCAAGGGGGCAGGAGGAGGGCGGGCCAGCCCCGCACCTGCCTGGGGCCTGGGGAGGGAGCGCACCTGGCCGGGCTGGCTCCGCCCCTCCACGGCAGGGACCCAGGATTCCAAGCTGGGGCCCGATGCCCCCATGGCGTGTGCTGCGACCCAGGCCCACAGCAACTGGCTCTGGCTCCGCTCCTCCTGGCCCCCTCTCCCAGGAGCACCGGCAGGGAAGAGGCCCACATCCTCTAACCTGGGGCTCCCCCGTTTTACTCAGGAGAGCCTGCCACCCCTCTTGCCGTGGGGACCCAGCCCAGGCCACCCCCTCCAGAAATAACCAGGCGTCTGGGCCCGAGCCCTCACCTCTGTGGCTCCCAGCCCGCCTGCGCTGAACCTGCCCAGGGCAGACAGGAGCCCACCGTGGTCCTGAGGTGACCCCTACGCTCACGCTCAGCAATGCCCCAATGCCCGATGGGCTGGGCAGAGGCAGCCCCGCTCCCACAGCCAACCCAACTCAACGCTGAGAGGAGGTGCCCAGGCCCCAGCGTCCTGCCTCCCAGGCCTGGCTCTGTCACCCGGCAGGGCTGGTCCCTGCCGGTCTGAGCAGAGAGGGACCCGGAGGGCCCAGGCCGACTTTAATGCCTGCCATTGCCGCCTTGAAATTCTATGTTTTAGTAAAAGGTGCTCATTTTCCACGTGGGCCCACAAAGGCAGAGCGCCCTGGCGGTGCCCGGCAGCCGGGGGCCGGGCAGAGCGCCCTGAGGGTCCCGGGCGTCCCTGGAGCAGCTCGGTGAAGGCCAGATTCAAACCAGTCTTCGCTTTATGAGCTGTCGGAGCCGATGTGTGTTCTGGGATCAAAATAGCTGCATTCGAGATTTTTATGGTCAAGCATTCAGGACCGGCGGTCAGCACAGAGTCTCCATCCGTGTGCGTGCATGTGCACGTGTGTGCAAAGGTGTGCGTGCATGTGTGCGTGTGTGTGCATTTGTGTGCGTGCGTGTGCCTCTCCCCTGCCTTGTTTGCTGGAGTCCTCACCTGGCTCTGGGCAGGAACAGCGCAGGTACTGAGTCACAGGGTTTGGAGCTGCTAGTCCAACAGGATTCCTGAGCCAGCCGGCTGAAGGTTGTCCCCTCAGGACCACAAGAGATTCCTGGAAGCTGACCCGAGAGGATCATGGGACCCTCGGGACTCTGGCCACAAGCACCTCTGGAGGCCTGGGGAGCTGCAGGGTCCCTCAGGACCACCGGGTCCACATGGTGGTCAAGGTTCAGGCAGGCGCAGAGCCACCAGGTGGCGCCCTCTGCTCCTCGGGACCCAGAGAGCCGCCTAGGTCCTGCCTCCTGTTCTGGGGCTTGGGGGAGAGTGTACAGGGGCCTGGGCAGGGACAGCCAAGGCGACCCTCACAGGCCAGCGCGGGCTGCTGCGTTCTCCCCTTCCCGAGCCCTCCCGGGGGCCTTCAAGCCAGGGCAGCCTCTGGGAGGGATCTTTCTGCTCACTAGTCAGGAGGCAAGACGTCCTTCCTGTGGTCTAGCCCTGTGGTCTGTTTCCTATGGCCCAGCTGGGGAAAGCCCTCTCAGGGGCTCAAGCGGATTTTCCCAGGAGAGGGGGACTGGTGTCCTTCCGGAATCCAGCTCCCCGCCTAGCCGCCCTTTCTGGGAGGCTCCCGTCCAGCCACTCTGCAGAAACAGCTCTGCTCTCTCCATGCCACCACTGTCCCTCCCACCCTCAGCCTGCTGAGCCTGCAAGGGCTGCATGAGCGCTGCCTCCTCCAGGAAGCCCTCCCGGCTCACCCCTGCCCTTGGACCTACCCTAAGTCCACCCTGGGTCCTCTCCCGGTCCAGCATCCCAGCTCCCTGGCAAAGGGTAGCTGGGTGCCCTCCTGTGGACACCCTGGTCAACCCGGATGGGCATCTATTGCAGCCATGCGAACTAACCCTTCTGCCTTTGGTCCAACTGGAATTCTCTGTGCTTTGATGGGAGCGAGTTTCTGAGGGCCTTCCTCAAGAAGAGTGAGGTTCCCCCAAATGTTGGGGTGGCAGCCCCCAAGGGTAGTGTGCTCTCACCTGCTGCCTGACCGGCCCGTCTCCAGGCCTTCCTCCGAAGCCGGGCACCGTGGGCAGTGCTCAGAGGCTGTGGTCGGAGCCCGGCGTTCTCTGCCTCTCGTGATAAGAAAGTCTTCTTGGTGGGTGAGAGGGTACGGAGGCAGGGCCTCGGGGAGCCCCACCTCAGGGCCAGAGCCGCTGGCCCTCAGGAGCCGGGAACTCCCTCGGGAGGAGGGTGCCACCCAAGCCCCAGGCGCCAGGCATCTGGGCCCGGCCCACCGCCAGGGGTCCCCGGGCATCGCCAGTCTTCCCAGAGGACTCGCTAGAGGGGTGACAGCCCATTTGGGCTGAGCGTCGGGTGGGACAGCAGAGGAGGGTCCTGAGTCAGGACGTCGGGGTTGAAAGGACATGGCTTTCTGGTGCCGCTGGAGCCGAGCCCACAGAGGCCTGGTGCCGGGAGGGCGAGCTGTGGGCGCTGCTCACCGAGGCTGCCCGGGTGTGCACGCAGGGCTGGCGGGCAGCTCCCTCTCCGGGCCAGGTTCTGGGCCCGGAGAACCCACCCAAGGTGTTTTGCACCTGTGCGTCCACCTCTGGCTGGGCCGGCCCGGTCCCCAGAGCTCCGCCGAGCAGTGGGCTAGCAGTCCTTGGTCCCAGCAGGGCGTCCGTGGGCCCGGCAGGGCCTGTCATCTGAGCTCCGCTCCTGGCTCTGGCCAGTTTGCCTGGTCCCGTCACTCCGGGTGAGGTCCCTCCCGGCCCTGCCGAGCGCCCTCCCAGACGGGTGTCTTGATGAAGCCATTGTGGGCTGGTGGCCAGGCGTGGGCTGGTGGCCAGGCGTGGGCTGGCTAACGTTTAACAGAAGGGCTGGGCGGGCGGGACTTCCTCTGCCAGGACTCTGAGGCTGCTCTGCGGGCACAGCAGGTGGGACGTGTGTGCCTGCGTGTGCATGTGTGTGCCCATGCCGGGCACGTGGCACGTGGGATGTCCCCTGAGCAGGGCCCGGCCTTCCTCCAAGCCCGACCCAATGATGCGGTTTGGAAGAAGCACCTACCAACAGAGGGGCCGGGAGCGGTTGGCACAGCTCTGGGGCCACGGAGGCGGCCTGTGGGACAGTGGGACATGCTGCGAGCAGACGCCCACTCGGGGAGACACGTGGGCGGGCGCGATGCCAGTCCCTGCGCTGCAGGGCCCTAGCGTGCAGGGAGCCCCGTGCCCGCGTGCGCCGCCCCGCCCACTTTGTGCCTCTCCCAGGACACGGGTGCCCCCATGGCAAGACGGTGGCTGAAGTTCCAGGGCAGGAAGGGAAAACCAAACAGAGCCGCGGCCCCGGGCTGGTGGCCCCCAGAGGGCGGTTTGGCAGCCAGCATTTCACGGAGACCCTGGCGGAGGGGGGCTGCTGGACCAGCTTCCTCCAAGGTGGCCTGGGGGCGTCTGAGGTGGAACTCAGGGCAGACGCTGGCTCAGAGCTGGGAGCTGCTGGCATGGAACCATGAGACGTGCAGGGACCACAGAGCGCCCCGCCCACGCCACTCCGGCCACCGGCACCCTGCTCGCGTGGGCCCCGCGCAGCTGAGGGTGGGCGCTCAGCTTGCCACAGTCCTCTGTGGATTGGGGAACCCTGTGCCATTCCCTGGGTGTCAGTCTGTGCATGTGTGATCACCCCTGACTCAGGTGATCTGAGCCCCTCCACCGGAGAGCCTGTCTGGGAGCCTGCTCCCCCTCTTCTGTACATCAGGTCGAGATGCTGGTGCCCGGGTTTCATTCACCATCGTTCAAGTCTGTGCTCTTTGATCTGAGTCTGGGTTTCCGGGGGATGTGAGCCCCACTCCTTGGAATTTCTGGGTGAATTATAACCCATTCACCTGGAAACTGAGGGGACGTACCCCACCTTCTGACTGCATGCGCAGTGAGTGTGTGACCCACCCACCAAGTGGCTGGTGCTCCAGCGCCCATGTCAGAGAACTGAGGTGCACTGTGACCCAGACACTGGGGCCCCTCCCAAGGCTGCCTGCACCCCACCTGCCACTGCATCTCCAGGGCCTTCGCAGCTTGGGTGGGCCCCATCCATGCAGGGCACCCCTGGAATCCGAGCGCCTTTCCCTGCTCCTATGAATACCTGGGGGCACGCCTGGCCCCCCAAGTTTCTGTGTAGCCTCTCCTGCCACACCCAAGGTCTGGGTGGCGTGCTCCCACCGGTATGGGCACTAGCACGGTGCTCTGTGGTCGCCAGGGTGCCTGGACAGCCTGGACCCACTCGCTGGGCCCCTCGGTGCCTGAATGCCCCCCTGACACGTCTCGCTTGGCCTTCGTGCCAGGCCAGGCCGGTGGCCTCGGGCCTGCGGTTTGGACGCCCCTGCTCCATCCGCCCCCTTGCCTGTGTGGGCCCCATTCATCCCTGTCTCGAGCTCTCCGTGAGCTG